GATGACAGAAAACTCTGTATGGATGGGTAGAAAATATGTGCCATAGTTCTGCCAGACCCCATCTTGTGACTTGGGACCTCATAGGATGTATGCCTATTTCCATTCACAAGTCTCTGTGCCTGGTGAAAGGTGACCAGGTATGCCCTAGGCAATATGTGAAGCTCAGAGAAGTATCTTGGCTGGCAGAAAAAGAGATCTTCTGAGTCCACGGGGACAGCTGCCAGGAGGCTTAGCCAGGACAATGTGCCTTCTTTAACTAGTGGAACTATAATGCTGATGCTTTTCTGGCTATTTGATTTTGAGCCTTTACCAGTGCTTCTGTTCTGGTGATACATTCCCAACATTTCACCCGCATGTTACCATACAAATAATATCTGAGCTGAAGCCTCACATGCTGGTTTATAAATTGTAGTTTCATAAAGAGGTAGTTGGGCTGCAGCAGATGAAGACAGCTGCTAATGAAAGCTATTGCTGTGCCAGCATGTACCTGAAGATAAATGCTAGGGCCAACATGCATAAAGTTTATTCCAGTGGCATGTGGCAGCTTCACGCCCTTAACAAGAAGTCACCCTCACAGCAACATTAGCCAAGGGCAAGTTCAATCCATCAAATGTGGAGGGAATTACATGTTTTAATGTATACTCTGACCAAGAAAGTGCTTTGCAATCACAAGGAGTATTCATGACGCTTGGGTAATTTTACAGAGTGCAAGTATACAGCTGCTCGGTAGTCGTTAAGTCCCCCACTCTCATACATGACTCTGCTGTAAAAAGCTGAGAGAGGCACTGAATTACAGGTACTGATTGCAGGGTGACTACATAGGACTCCACACGACATACACCTATAACTTGCAATTCACAGGGCTGCTCAGAACATGAGCCAGCCTGCTGTACTATATCAGCCTTCCAATAAACAGAAGCCAAAATATGAAGTTGTTATATAGTTGCTCAAGCACATGAAGCTGGTGGATGTAATGATCCAGACACATAGCTTGCTGACGTGCTGTTAACGTCAATGAAAGATGAATAATAAAATGTGTGAGGGTAGACCTTAGCAATCTTAAATATGCCAATTAAAAAAAACCCCAACTCTGGGTAAACAAGTGTGGGAAATTACTTCTGATTCTGTTTTGGCTGGCTGGAAAAAAAAAGGCCTTTTTCACAGTTACAGGTCAGGGAATGCTATTGGCACCTATGGGCACCATTAGCACTTCTCAGACAAAACAGAAATTCATCTCTCCTTGCTAGGAATAAAGTGACCTTGAGAGATAACCATCAGATATCAAAGAGCCAAATGAGTGACACTTCTTAGTGTCTCGTGCCTGCAAGTGAGTTTTTCAGGTTTGCATGAGGAAACCTTGTTGGACTAGATGGCCTTTATGCAAAACGAGTCGCTTCCTTTAAATGGGCGGTGCAGCGTCCCGCTGTGGACCTCTGCTGGGCTACGGACCTCCAGCTCTGGGGGGTCTTGGCGACAGAGGAGGCAGCTCCCACCACCACATTAGTCCCCTGGTCTGGGGTCCTTATCAGCAGCGTGCCCCAAGGAGTGGTGGAGGCTGGAGTGATTGCCGGGTGAAGCCACGGAGGTCAGTGGCGGGCTGCACCATTTGTTTTAGTTTTGGAGTCAACTGTGAGGAGCTAAAGCTCTAACGGCTCTGGGGCCTATGAAGAATTTGATAACTATTTCTCTCTGAGATTCTTCACCCTGCCCAAAGGTGGCTGCATATAGAGAGGGCACATGCATGAACTTGTGGCGACAGATGTCTATTTTGCTGGGACGTGCCATGTTTGACGGAGTGGCCCATAAAGGGTTAGCATGAGGCTGGAGAGCAAGCATTGCTGTTTGCTATAAACAAACCCTACCAAAGTGCCTGTAATTGCAGTGTTGGAAGGTTGGCCAGGCCTACATGGTAGCAGGGGAGGAAAATAATGCTTTCTTTTATCTGTTCTTGCAAACAGCTGGAGACAGATAAAAGCGGAGACAGTTTTAACCTAAGCAAAGATTGTGACTGTATGCTTTCCTTTGTTCCTCTGTGCTTTCTGTTTTCTTCCTTTTTAGTTATATTTTTATTTGCGAATGAGACTGTGCATGGGACAGCTTCTGAATAGTTTTTCTTTTTTTTTTTCCGCTTCTTTCTTTTTCTTTAACTTAAGGAGATACCTGTTTCTCCTCAAACTGAACTCCTGTGGCTGCCTGTGCTTCAGAGGTATGCAAGGATAACACATTCTGTGCTCTGTTCTGCCTACTCATGGCAACTTCCAGAGCCCTGACGTAAAGACCAGACAAACATTTTCTACAACTACCCATCACTGAGGATAAGTTTTGCCAGAGTATGGTAGATGTAAAACAGTCCTGAAGCAATCATTTTCAGATTTTCCAGTAACACAGAATGCAATGGCATAAGAAAGACAAAGAAAAGGAACTGTTATCTTAAAATCAAAGAAAGGCCTTCTTTCACTTCTTCCAGGTACGCAAGAGAAAATTTTCAAATCCTAGCATTCAGAGTGAGTAGTGATTTACACTGACATTGATTAGAATCACTTACTGAGCCAAGTTCCCCATGCAATGCTTTGAAACTGTAGACACTGTACCTTGCTGCTTCTAATTAGATGCCTTGGACTGATGTTTTGGTACAGCAGGCAGATGTTGCTTTGCTAGACTTTTCAAATGCTCTAATTCTTCAAGTCATACTGATCCAATAACGTACAGCTCCATCAGGGTGACACTTACAGGCACATAGGCTCATCTACATAAGGAGTTATTCCAGATCAGCTTTTCCTGATTAAATCTGCTGTGGAAGTTACTGCAACAGAAATAGCTCTGCTGTTGTAAAACTTGTATTAGGCCACTCTTTCCTTTTGTTAATTGCAATCTTTTAAGGCTCTGTATATTTTCTGTAGGGATAAAAAGTAAGTATTACTTCAGATATATTTTTACTGTACTATGTACTTTCCACGTATCTTGCTGCTTTCTTTCAAAAAGTAAAGCCTATTTGAAACACATTACAATCTGTATTGCCTACAGTCTTCTCAGGTATGCTTTATGGCAAGCCAAGATGTTTTCATGATGGCATTTGTGCAATTTCAACATCTGATAAGTAAAGGGATGACTATTTTCCTCCAGCTGTTCTCTTTGATATTTAATTATCCTAAGCTGGTACTTCCTTTTCAAAGTCTGTGGAAACACCGGCATATGGGTACGGATGAGCTTGTGGGAAATAATGAGAAAAGGACCATTTCTGGTCTAGTGTATCTCATGTGAAGAGTGAGAAACCTTACTCTTCCCACTCAAGGGATTTGTTGGTGATGTATCCTTCTCTGCTTAATAACTGGACTGTTGTCTAGGTTTGTGGCAACAAAGAAATTAATGAAGAAATTTTAAGAATTAAACATATTGAACTTTTTCAATAATAATATCTTTTAAGCCAGCAAAATTGTAAATCTGATTGTTTCTATGAGGTAGCTTGTCTTGGTTTTGCCAGGGCCGGCAGCTAAGCACCATGCAGCTGCTTGCTCACTCCCATCCCCAGTGGGATGGAGGAGAGAGAATTGGAAGAGTGAATGTGAGAAAACTCGTGGGTTGAGATAAAAACAGTTTCATAGGTAAAGCAAAAACCGCGCATGCAAGCAAAGCAAGACAAGGAATTCATTCCCCACTTCCCACCAGCAGGCAAGTGTTCAGCCGTCTCCAGGACAGCAGGGCTCCATCACGCGTAACGGTGTCTTGGGAAGATAAATGCCACCACTCTGAACGTCCCCCTCTTCCTTCTTCTTCCTCCAGCCACCGATATGCTACGGATGACACCACATGGTATGGAATATCCCTTTGGTCAGCTGGGGTTAGCTGTCCCGGCTGTGTCCCCTCCCAACTCCTTGTGCACCCCCAGCCTCCTCGCTGGTGGGGTGGGGTGAGAAGCAGAAAAGGCCTTGGCTCTGTGTAAGCACTGCTCAGCAGTAGCAAAAACACCTCTATATTATCAACACTGTTTTCAGAACAAATCTAAAACTTAGCCCCATACTAGGTACTATGAAGAAAATTAACTCTCAGCTGAAACCAGGACATAGCTCCACAGTCAAAGACCAAAGGTATATTTTAGGTTTCTCTTTACAATTTTTTTTAAAATAAACATATTTCTGGGTTTTTATAAACTTGCATTACAAATGTAGTTCCACGTTCCAGACATTTTTTATTTTACAGCCTAGAAATACTCATATTTAAATAGTATATAAATCAAGACAGGTTTCCTATAGAAAAGTTTAAAGAGGTTGCTGTTTGCTGTCCTTTTAAAAAGAAGAGAAGCTCATATTTCTAGGGTGTGAAATAAAATAAAACCCCAAAGACAAGTAAGTATCAGCTGTGCTCTGAAGAAGCATGTTTCCTGCCTAAATTATGAGTACGTACAATTTAGCTATAATAAATAATAGTA